AAAGTGAGGAAGCAAGCACAGACCTGCACGGGATGGTACGACCTTGGTACACGGCGTACACGGCTAAGTCAATAAACTGGGTGACGCAACTCACTAGCGCGTTGGATCGACGGAGAGCACCGATACTCGGCACGCTCTACCGTACTCTCTCGCTCGCATACCTCCCTCCCATAGACCACCGAAATTCCTCGGCACCCGTCAACACCGACGGAGAGCACCGATACCGCGGCTCGCTCTACCGCTCTCGCTCTCTCCCGTTCGCCCGCTCCGACCATCTTCGGCATCGTTCGGTACGCGTCGACACAGACGGAGAGCACTGATACCGGCGGCTCGCTCTCCCGCTCTCGTTTATTTATGATGTTCATATTCCCCAAATAAATATCATTTTTAACTAATTTGTTTAAGCGACATGTTCCTTTTAAAAATTTAGCTCTCCAGTATCAATTCTAAGACCGTTATTTATTATTCATTTCATATCGTTAAGTACGATTTTTCTCACAGGATACCGATTTCTATTACAGTATCACAAAATAATTGCAAATATGAAACTTCTTTATCTCTTGTAAAGTGAATGAAGTTAAATCACGACCGTGATCGTGATTCGGCGATCACTGTGATAAATCACCTGTAGTGATTTTGCACGCAATCTCTACTGATAGGCACGTTAAAAATAAATTTATATCTTACGGAGTATATATTTGATATCGAGTTGCAATATGATTGGGTAATCAAAGGTTTTCTCGGTGAGCAATCGGTGAGAATCTTTTGTCTACAAAATTGTTACGTGGCATAACGCAGTACTATATTCAGTAACCGCATGCTAAATATAGTTTAAAAATCAAACGATTAATTTATGATTTTATTTAAAAATCTAACGATACAATTGTTGAAACATTGTTGAGCTGTTTTCGAAATTTTAAGTTGCGCCTGCGTACTACTTTCAGGTTAAAAAAACATAGTAGCATACTGCCGAACTACATTGGACTATTTACATGTTTACTACTTTGCAGTTTGTTGCGATTGTTTGACTTCCGAAGCCAAATTTTAACTACGTAACATTTACACGTGACCAAATTTCTATAGAATTTAACTGCGTTTTACCGTACATGCAGCGAAGCATTTTGACAGTGAGACAACGTAAATTGTAACGAACGTATCCCACACGTTGTGATCTCGTGACGGAAAAATATCAAGTACCTTATATGTCAGTTATTGAATTTTTATTATATACAGTTTTTATGTAACAAAAGGTAAATTTATTGTAATTATATATTACACTCTTTTCTAAAAAAATTATTTCATAAAATCATGTGTTAAATACATAAGTAAATACACTGAATAATGAACCTAAATCACAATATAAAAATATTTGTGTTTGACCAAATTAAACTGTAATCAAGTTTATACATATTCTAATTTTAATTCTTTTCAGAATGAGTCACATTAAATGTTTACGCCACCCTATGTCCTGTTTAATCAGCTGTAATTTTGAAACAATTACTAGAAACTTGGTAATACAAAATGGGTACAGAAATCTTCATCATTCGTAAGTTATTTAGCATGTAATAAGGATTTAATGTGTTGCATTCGATAAGTGTGTTCATATTTAAAAACAAACAAAACATTTCAGGTGCATGGTATTGGTTGTTGGGGGTGGTACCGGGGGTTGCAGTATGGCTGCAAAGTTTGCTAAAAAGTTTAAGGATCCAAATAAAGTTATCATCATAGAACCAAATGATGTTTGTATTCTTTATTGTATCAACCAGTATTGGATTTATAAAACACTTCTTATTTCTAATTAAAACTATTTTATAGGTTCACTTTTATCAACCAATGTTTACATTAATTGGTGGTGGCATAAAACAATTTGAAGACTCGAAAAAGTCAATGAAAGATGTTTTACCAAAGCATGCAAAATGGCTTCAAGAAAATGTAATGACCTTCGAGCCAGATCAGAACAGAGTAACTATGAGTAACGGTGATCAAGTACAATATGACATTATGATTGTTGCAATGGGTTTGCAACTATATTGGGAAAAAGTGAGGTTGGAAAAATTATCTTATGTCGTTCACCTAACAAATAAAAATTAATTATATTGTATGCGTATACCAGATACCTGGTTTGACACAAGGTCTTAGGGAATATACATCACAAGTTTGCTCTATATATGGGTCTGACACAGTTTCCAATGTTTTTCCTAAAATCAAGAAGACTAAGGAAGGTACTGCAATATTTACTTTTCCTACTGGCCCAGTCAAGTGTCCTGGAGCACCACAAAAGATTGCATATATTGCAGAAGAATATTTTCGGAAAGTAAGTACGATTGTACTAAAGAGCACCTTTGTAGGAATCTGTAACTTAATAGCAGAATGAATATAAGATTAATACTGTTTAAAAAAATTGATCTGTATGTGTGGAAGGTTTTTTAGTTTCTGTTTTTGAGTATTAAATAGAGAATTATTTAACTACGTAGACGTAATGAATGCTAATAGGAATTTGAAGAGTACTTAGTTCACAGATACCTCCATTGATGCTCCCTGGTACTTATACTATAGAGGGTATTTCGCGATAACTGATACATCCATGTGAAAGTGAAAACGAAGTTCCATACTACAAAAGATTTTAAATGTTTGACTTGCTCTTGTACATAGAAAAACCTTATGTATCATTTATAGCAGGATATTGCATACATGTATATTTGTATATTTTCTATCTTTCAAAAATACTATACAAGCATCTTGTGCTAATACTTCCTTTTCTAAAGGACAATGCGCGTAAAAATATAAAGGTTGTGTATAACACTGCTTTACCAGTCCTATTTGGCGTGAAAAAGTATGCTGATTCACTTTGGAAAGTTTGCAAACAAAGGGATATTACGGTAAATCTTCGAACGAATCTTGTAGAAATAAGACCGTCATCTCAAGAAGCTGTATTTGCAAAATTGGATAAATCGAACGAAACGTTTGTTGAGAAGGTATTTTTATACATATTTCATATGAAACGGATATAAGATAGTGTACTTCGTGATATGTTCTCCTTTTTAGTATTCGTTACTTCACGTGTGTCCACCAATGGGTCCACCTGATGTTCTGAAAGAACACTCTACATTAACGAACGAGATGGGATTTTTATCTGTCGATCCTAAAACCTTACGTCACACGAAATACTCGAATATATACGGAATAGGAGATTGTACAAGTACTCCAAACTCAAAAACAATGGCTGCAATAGGTATTGTAATATTTAATAAAAATTACTCCGAATGTTTATTTTCATATATTTTATTTTTAGCGGCCCAAGGCAAGGTATTATATAAAAATATTTGTGATGATCTGAGTGGTAAACCAATGACTATGGCTTATAATGGTTATTCATCGTGTCCCTTGGTTACTGGTTACTCAAAATGTATTTTAGCTGAATTCGATTACAATTTACAACCACTTGAAACGTTTCCAGTCAATCAGGGACGAGAATATTTCTTCGCATTTGTACTCAAAACATACATTTTCCCACTTCTCTATTGGCATTTGATGCTACGGTAAATTTATTACAATTTTTATATCTTCAGTTCAGGAGTGAGAAATTTGTGAGATTTCATGTTGATATATTTTCAGTGGCTACTGGGATGGGCCAGAATTTTTCCGCAGGTACACAAACTGGTTAAAAAAGAAAGAAACAAATAACAGTTACAATGTCTAATAATCAGGTTGGATCACTTAGTGTGAAAAACAAAGTATTTATAACAAAGTCGTTGTACATTGTATATAATTCTATTGATTAGTAATATATGGCACTGTTAAGTAATTATTATACTGTGGATGTTGTGTAAAATCATATTTTGGTGGATTAACTTCGAAAAACTAGAACTAGTCAGAAGTTTTGTTCAAAGTAGCATAAAAACGTTATTAAATGTAATTAATTTTTTTGAGTCACTTCTGCCTGTCTGATGTTATAAATGCATAAAATCTGCAGTCTAATAATTATAATTGAATTTATTTTATATAATAATTTGTCAATAAATAAATGGATGTAAGAAATGTTATGATACAAAATATTGTACTTAAATTTAAAATTTAAAAACGATTTCGTCTTATCGCGTGATCCATTTAACTTGAATACAGGTGGCACTCGTGTAGTATTACGAGAATATTGACGCGTCAAGTTTGACGTGAACATGGATGGTCAGCTATTGGTAGGTTTTTTTGACGTGCGTCTTACGTTTTTTTACCTAGATTTCGTATTAAAGTGCGCCTCATAATAATATATTCTTGATGTAAGTATTGTCTCGTGCAATTGTAATCATGAATCGTGGTGGATCATCGAAAGTCGTGCAACATAACCCCTCTCCAATGCTTCAGAGTGACCAGGATCGCGATTTTCTACAACGCGTATGATTTCTATTGATTTTAAGTTTGCTTTTCCTGTCTGTTCCCATTTACACTTGTTTATTTTAATAACAAACTAGTAAACGAAAGTGTTTCCTAACCTCTTTGAATTTAACGTAGCATGCGTGGTTCTTTAAACTTTTTCATTTTAATTCAAATTGGTAATCGAATACTACATGGGTGCATACGTGGGAAAGACTTTTTTAACAGGTTACTCTGTTTTAATAAAATTCATGTCTTACTGTAGGAACCTACACTTTATACTGTCAAGGGTATGGCTATCCTTGACAATGATGGCAACAGAATATTAGCCAAGTATTATGACAAGAATGTATTTCCCACATCGAAGGAACAGAAAGCATTTGAGAAGAATCTCTTCAACAAAACACACAGGGCAAATGCAGAGATTATTATGTTGGATGGTTTAACTTGTGTCTATAGGAGTAATGTAGACTTGTTTTTTTATGTTATGGGAAGTTCTCATGAAAATGAGGTATACATAATTCTACAATATTAATTGTGTTATTCTTGAGTGTCATTTTTGTGCAGTTTGTAAAGTCCTATCATTTTTGTTTCAGCTGATCTTGATGAGTGTCTTAAACTGTTTGTACGATTCTGTTAGTCAAATTTTAAGAAAAAATGTTGAAAAAAGAGCTGTTCTGGATAGTCTAGACATAGTTATGCTAGCAATGGATGAGATCTGTGATGGCGGGTAAATAGTACTTATGTAATAAATAAGTAACATGTTGGTATTGATAACATGGTACATAAAAAAATATTTTGATTTAGAATTATTCTCGATGCTGATGCCTCCAGTGTTGTTCAGAGGGTAGCGTTGCGAACAGATGATATTCCTTTGGGCGAGCAAACAGTTGCACAGGTAACAATTATAATTAGGTGAAAAATTTGATGAATTTAATGTCCTAGTAAAGTTGTTAAGTAAGTGTCCTGTTGTCACATAGAAACATTTTCGATTTCTTTATTTTGTGTTCATGCATCATTCTACATTCTTCGCACAGTCTCTGATTGTAAGTTTTTGTGAACCTAGAAGACAGCATTGTTAACAATACTTAAGTAAATTTTATGTACATATTTAAATGCTTTACTTCTGTTCTAGGTTCTGCAGTCTGCAAAGGAGCAACTGAAATGGTCGTTATTAAAATAAGTTTTATACACATAAATTGTATTAATCGCATATATGTATAAAATCATCATTTTAAAGTATAAAACAATAAAATTCCATATTAAGTATTTTATAAAGCTTGTTCTGTTACTTTTTGTTCGAACCTGTTTGAAACTACCTCATGAAACTTGAATCCCCTTGACGAGTGTCCACTAATGTTCAGCAATCGGAGATGAAGATGTAGGAAGATCCTGACGAGGTTCGCGGACGCGAGTGAAATGAGGATTATCCGTGGCACGTCCGTATTTACGGGCTCGCGACTCACGCAAGGTCGCGAGTTTGCGCGAACAGGTGCGCGAAAATCAAGTGCAGTAGAAAATCGAGCGCACTAAAAATTATTTCTTGATTAATTTATTATATCTAACAAAGTAATTGTTATAACAATTACTTTTCTGGGGGATATTGTTAAACAATCTGCCAGCTCTTTTATAATGCAAATTGTTATTGTTTATAACAAATAGGAATCGAGATACATAGAAACTTGTATGATATGGATTGTTTAGTGAAATGTTACATATAATTACTTTTACTTTATTGCAAACTATTAAACAACGATTATGTTTTAATGTTAATGATGATTGTTAACTAAATATTATTTCATTTAAATGCGTCTTGGTAGAGTTTTATGCGAAAAATTTGTAAAAATTTGTCGAAAATGAGAATTCCTCGAACGGCGTTTGATTTTGGAATTAGGAGCATGGTGGTTTTCGGACCTTTAGCCAATGAAATATCTAATGCTTTATTGGTGCTAATATGGAACAATTACCATATCGAATTGATGTTTTGCTTTTAAAAATGATTAAAAGAAAAGTAAAAGAGGAAGCCTATAAATCAATCCCAAAAATGATCAAACGATAAAATTTATGCACTCGCATATTTCTTCTATACTTTTTACAAGTTTGTTTATTTCATTTTATACAAAATCCATATAAAATACGGAGGGAAGGTATCGCGTACACCTTATAAATACGTTATTTACATGATATTATATTAATTATATTATATTATATATATATCTATGTATAAATCGTGCATGGACCGTCAAAATTTTTCCAAAATTTTGCCGTCTCCCGTTCCGGGGAGAGACCAAATCGCCCATCATGGATTCAACAATTTAGCTCGTTTCACACGTTCAGCCTGTTTCAAACAGCCCGCGATTCTTCAGACGGATATGTTCAGTAAGTAATGTACAATGTTTGCGATCATTTCGATTGCAAGAACGTTGTCGATTATTTCGACGTTAAAGTCATTGGACTTTTAGGAAACAACGATCGCTGCGAACGCGATTGTAAGGAACGGAACAAGATCGACGAATGAACTTCTCCTCGCGCCGGATGGAATCCCGATTTCGCTGCACATAGTCTCATTAACTTCTGGCAGAGCCGTGTAGTTTGGGAACGTCTGGATATCTGCAGGCTATAAATAAAAAATCGAGCAATTAAGAGGCTATTCGATGCGACAGAAGTAGGGACTTAAACCGGTATGATTTTGATACCGGTATTATGCCATCAAAGCTATACCGAAACCGATATATTACCGAAAACAGAAATAAATACCGGTATTTTGTCGGTTTCTATAAGGGTAGGACTTATATAGGGCGAATGTACAACCGCAAATACCGGTATAATACCGGTATTTACGTTTCGGTAGAAGTCCCTGGACAGAAGTCGATAAAGGTCGAATTGGACGTCAATTTACCAGGGCTAATTTGTCGTCCCTTTTCCTGCAGAAGGTCATGTGCCTGCCATGATATAGACTCTTCTCGATGGACCTCGAAAGTAGCTCTTCGGTCCAGGGCAGCGCTAAAATGTGTTCCGCCAGCGTTCGACCTGTCCAAAGAAGCATTCCTGTTAAGATTCGTGCTTACAATTAGCATCCTGATAACCAGTTGTGTACAAGTTTTGAGCAAATTGCCACTAAATAATGACAAAAGTTGTATAAAAAAACCATAGTCATCTGTTTTCGCATTTGACTTGGGATTTGCAAGCAGCGCCAGCTGACAAAATGGTAAATCAAATTGGCAGCAGGTCTTGTAACATACCTGTGTCAAATTAGGGGCAAAAACGGAACAAAGTCTGAGCGAGCCAATTTTTTGTTATATCAGGTTAGACGTCCTATTTATGTACCTCTAAATTCTTCAGGTTCCTCGATGATAAGACGCGTGAACACATTATCATTCTCGTGCTCCACCGTGTAATCCCTCATAGCTCTCAAGGCAGACTTTGCCTCCTTGATAAGGTCCTCATCGATATCATCGCCAGGCCTGGTCGCAGGATATATAGGTAACTGACCCGTGGAAGGAATCGTCACAGTATCGGTCCTGAATGAACCACAACCATTAAAACCACAAATCCTTTCTACCGTCTTCTTTGTATATATATACATAAAATGTAATATACACAAAAATACAACAAAATATTTCTTTGGTAATATTCAGATAATTTGCTAATGAAAGGATTTATCTGAAAAAGAAATTGCAAGTCACCCACCTGGTGGTTAAGAAAAGCTTCTCCAGGTGATCCATGGTGACGCCCTTGAAACTGTACACACCAAGGGTCTTGAACAAATCCTTGACAGGCGTCATACTGTAACAGGCCGCGAGTGGTGTCCTGGGATAGTGCACTACGAAAGCCAAACACATCTCCTGGGACGCAGCATAGCCTCCCAGAGTCGGTTTTGTTCTGTCCAGAGTGCCGTAAACGCATTCAGCGACCAGTTCATCGCCTGGTAGTACTTTGACCTCTTTCTCCAGGGTGTGAGACTGCTGGTACTCGAAGTCGAAATGATTATCTTGGACGATTCTGGGCAATTCCTTGCCCTGACGGATGTGCTTCAGGCTCAAACGTCGACCAGCCAGATGAGAGTGTAGAGCAACCGAGACGATGTTCACTCCAGTCTCAGGGAACATCTGGAAGAGTAGATAATATTCTTGTAACTCTGGAGAACAACGAAGATCGATTCTTCAAGAATGTTCTCCAAGGGTAGAATTATTTTTTACCGTATTGGTGCAATGAGGAGTGCAATATCCAGCTGTGGCGTACTCCCTCTGTTGCGGGGGAATCAAATGAAGAGGACTGACGGCCACCCCAGCGACCAAAATCCCAGCCTCTTCGGGACGAAGCTTTGGGGTCAAGTGAAGCCTGACCCCGCTGCTGTCCACCACTTTCTTCATGCCAGGGTTGTTGTAGTGCACCTCCAGCATATAATAGGAGCCCTCTCTGTGCTCTGCGATAGGTATACCGACGTGTTCCGGAAGCCATTCCCCTGAAAGACGAAGATATGTTAGTCAACAACTACATCCAAATGTCAGTTCTTAGAGTGTCACTCTAACAAGGGAACATCAGGAATTGACAATCGTCGATTTTGTTGTAATTCTGTGAGATTGTAGTTCTCATCAAAATATTTGACACGTATTTTTTCTTTAGCTACTCTTATCCACTTTAGAGGGGTGAGAACAGCCCTAAAGTTAGGGGTGTGAACTGTATTCGGTTGAATATCTCGGAAACTGTTAGGGATATAAAAATACTATAAATTCAAATATTATGTGGTTTTTGATAAGAAATCTAGCTATATGATTGGATTTAAAAATAATCCATTTGTTCTAATTCAAGCTTGAAGGCTCGAACGTTAAAGCTTTCACGGCTCAAGCTTCGAACCTTGAGGGTTCGAGCCTTAGAGTTTGAATCGCGACTCGAACTGTTAAAGCTCAAGACTCGAGGCTCATTTTAACACTACTTCAATCTATACCTGAGCTACCACGGGCCCAAGCTAGCACCGGCTGCAAACAGGACTCCCATTCTCGAGGCATCGTTGGGCTATAACACGGCGCTCCGACGATCCTGGCGTGTTGTCCCAGTATCGGTAACGTCGAGGCGCATTCGTACAGTATTATATGGTGCACCAAGTTCTCGTTTGCCTTCTCTATCAGGGGTGTGTACTGAAAAAGAAGAAAAAGAAAATATAATTAACGCGTTAACTTCTCACGATTCCAAATCTCGTTTAACATCGTGGTCCCGCAAATTCGACGAAGAAACATGACGCCTGGCACACAAATGGAATACAGGATCGGGATTTTACTCCTCTCGTCGGGGTGGAGGATGAGGATACCTTTCAGAAGGATTCCATTGACAATCGGTGAACGTTTCGGGCACAAGAATGACATCATTCTACCGAGGCCCTTTCTTTATTCTAATGACGTCCGTCTCTACATGGTGCCACGTCCGGCATGGATGACCGTGATTCGTGAAGCACATACGAATCAGCTGGGCCCAACCTTATGGAATTCCCGGCAGTACCTTCTGCCGCGTTGGACACGCGAAACGTACACTAGGGAATACCAATCCATCTGCGGATTCGCCGAAATGAGACTTCGAGGTATCACCCCGGATGGTGCACGATCGGAGGGTTCTTTTTTCTTGTCTTACGATTTACCTTGACGTCTACAATATTATTGTCACGTGCAGCATTATTGTCGGTAGTTTCCCACAGAGTTGGGCAGAATGTACTCTAATTGCTAATTCCAAATCACGATTGCAATGTAATTGCAGGTTTATAATTGCATTGTAATTAACAAAACCGGGACGCTAAGGATATAATCCGATAACTTGTACGTGGTGACGATATCAAAATGTTTTCTTTGAGTTAAAGGGAAATACTAGTTTGCTGATATTAATATTTAACTTTTAGAGTAAATATACAATTGCGATAAGTACACGAATTCCTTTGTTTCTGGGGAATTGTTGATGATAAAATAATTCTGGAGACTGCAAACATCAAGGAAATCATAGAGCAAGGGGTTAAAATTGGTCGAAAAATTTCGTTCACTTACCCCGATCATGTGGTGTTTCTCCTTATGAGGAGCCCTGAAGATTTTGCACCAGTAGGTCGTGTCAGCGTTCTCCGAGACCGGTGGCTAAGCATCGAAAAATACATAATTAATCCAATTCATCGAAACCAGTCGATTAAAGGCACAGTTTAAACAGTCCGTTAAATCTACCTGATGTAATTTCACGTCCCAATATGTCACGTCTTGCGTGTGCTGCGGGGGTGAATGAGGCGCAGGAGTTTTCAGCCTGAGCGCTCTGCCACCCCTCTTATCTCCGGGCCAGATCGCGGTATTTAGTTCGGGATCGGTTTGGTGCAGCGCCCAGAGGACTCGTACAGTGTCTCCCTGGAATAAACCAAGGAATTGAAAAAGAATCGATTTTTAAACATTTGCTTATAAATATACATATATTTGTAGCGGACAAGTCATGTATTATACAAAATTTTATAAGCCGAATTTTTGAAGCTCCACATGCTAATACCAAAAAAATCTAAGCGAGTACAATAAGAAATCGCTATATAAATTAGTTAATATTGTTTTAGATATCGCTTATTAAAAATAATTCGAAGGATCTATATCTGCACGGAAACTTTTGCAGACCACTGTACGCTCGTTAAGGAATACTTTAATAGGTTCGACAGATCGGGTCGGGAATCCCAGTGGGTAACGCAGGAGGACGGCATGCTAAACGCCTGAATATCGCCGCGGGAATTCGACGCAGGGGTGGGGAGGCGTGAGGGCCTTAGGGGTCCGCTTAAACTCGCGGGGTCCCTCCGTGCGCCGAGCATAAATCGAACGTGGCCCCCTCTCTCGGCGAATTCTACTGGGCCTTCCGAAGCTACGCTGTAAATCTTCTCCCCCGACCATCCCTCTATTCCCAGGGTTCGTTCGGTGAATTCGATATTGGACAATTCACGTTTTTACGACTTCTAATTACCAACGGGCCCGGAACTATGGCGGGACCGTGTCGCCCACTGTGCAAATATTCTCTTCTTTATTGTCCTCGGAGAGTGTCTGACGTGCCTTGAGTCTTTTTAACCCGTTCAGTCCCAAATTATTAAAAAATTACCAAAGAGATAATTTGTTATCTTGATGCACGTAAATATTTTGACCTTGAGAGAGTTTTGCAAAGGTCACATTAAAATTTTTAAATGAAATTAAATATTTTTGCATATTCTTTTATCCTACTGCGTTAATAAAAAAAAAATCGGTATATGTATAATCGTGTATTCGCTCACCGTGAGTCGATGATCCTGGGGATCGCAGGTTTGCCAGTTTCGCGAGAAGATCACGCTTGTGTGCGTCTCGTTCTGCGATCCACCGAGCACCTTGACATCTTGGGACGCATCTGTGACCAGGGCGGCGTCTGGATCCTCGATCCCGTGCGAGTCCTGAAGAAAAAAAAATGAAGAACAAGGTTAGAATCGCGAACAGGGTCAACGGACGCCGAAAAGAGTCGTCCCCGGAGGGCCACAAAACCACTCGCTGCTGACTGGATGGGGATCGACATCGTTTATCGGGTCAGGTGAGCCGCGCCAGGTGTTTACGTTCGACGATGCAACGAAACTTTCGGACCGGGGGCCAGTTTCCGAGATCCTTTCCTTCGCCTTTACTTTCTCCTGTATTTTCGTCAACGATGTGACAGGGCTAGGGGTGTTCGGGTACTAATTACTATTTAGTACTGCGATATTAAAAAAAGGAAACATATTAATCTATTTAAAAAAATTTATCTATAAGTGTAATAGTTTCGGAAATAAAAATTCGTTTATAGAGTCACGTGTGGCTAAAACATGTTTTTCGCAGTTTCTTAATATGTTATAATTCGTTACTAGCTTTGAGGCCAGCGAAATGATGACATAAACTAATCATTATTTCAGATAGACTACAATATATTACAGTTTCATTAACATCGGAAGACATGCTGCCAGGAAGTTACTGAATTGGCGTGGAATGGCTCGTATGTAAACGTTCGTCTAGTCAGGAATTACTGGGGCACTTTAAGAATCACGAATGTCTATTTGAGTGGTTATTACGTTGCTGATGTTTATGCATTTATGGCATCCTTTAACTTCGTTATACGAAGAAATTAGGAAATAATCCCCTTCGAATAATTTACATGCATAACGTATCGGAACAGTCTGTATTCGATCGGAAATGGAACACCGTCGAGTGTGCCGACACGCAGAAGGGAGGCTCCGCGGGCGTTTGGGTCCGTTGGATTCCGATTATGGTCGGGCGCTTAAGAGTTCGTAAGACCCCGAGGGGAAGTCCCCTTCCTGTTCATAATGAATCGAAATAATTGGCCCAGAGCGGCGTCATGCTCGCCGCTCGTGTGTACGTATTTTGTAATGAGTACACGCGCAAAGAGGAAACAGCGATAAAGTGCCGCGGTGCGCATCGTGAAAAACACGAGGGAAGGGGTTGTATTCGTAACGGATCGACGCTGTCGACTGACAATTAGACAGTTGTTCGAACCGTACGAGGTGTTCTAACCTGATATTTATCACTCGGCCATGACGAAAGATAAACTGGCCGTTCGCAAAACAAAGTGGTTAATTTCAGTTTTCGAAATTTTTCAAATCTTAGCGTCACAGAACAAGCTAAAGTGACTAACTCTAGTTTTTGAATACTTTTGAATTTTAGCGCCAAAGAACAAGCCAAATACTCATCGGGTATTTACTGTAATATTACGTAAATAGCCAAGCAAATTTTCGATTTAACCTCGAACCAACCAGATACAAAAAGAAAAGAACGTATTTTAACGTTCTCCTTTCAATTACCGTCCAGTGGATCAGGGTTAAGCTGAACATTTTTCGACTTTATACTTTCGTTTAATTATACATTCCCTCCCTCATTGTACACCTTCTTGCGCCCTCGTTTCGCGAAAAAATTCCTTTTAACCGTGATCGCTCGCGGCTCATTATTCGGGCGGGGTCTGCGAAGCCGGTTTCTCACGAAGTTCGCGGGGGTTTTCTCATGGTACCCGGATATTCTCATCGTCGCCCGACTAATTAGCACGACCGTGGCATTGCTGGATGGTGATTAAAAAAAAAAAAGAAGAAAGGAAAAAAAAATGAAGCGGATGAAAAGGTCGGAGATTCCGCGGCGATTTCTCTCGAATCCGACGAATCGGTCGTTCAAGGGTACGTTTTAATTACCACCTGTTGATTTACACGGTCGTCGATAGAGGAGTGTGAACGTAGTGAAAACCAATTTTTTGTTCTCTTCTTCTTCTGCAGAACGGATTACACGTTTAGGAGCGGGAACGCCTTAATTGCCGCGTCGCAAGAGATTATGCAAATGGGGGGTGGAGGGGGGGTGGTGGGACTGCAGAAGGACGCGTAGACACCTGGTTTCTATAATTGTGAGTCACGAAACTCGACAACGGGGAAGCTCTCCACATGCTTCTCTCTTCTGGCGTCCTCCTTTCAGGAACAGGTTCCGCGACTTTTGCGAGTAACAAATGCGTCAACCGGCTTCTGTGCCCTCCGCGGTTCTAACGATACTCGTTAAAACAGAGAAGAGTATAAAGGAAAAGTTCGGTCACACGGAAAGTTCAAGCACGGACATTCCCGGAGGATATTTAGAAAATGGAAGAAGAACAAGCGTGACGAAGACTTGTACAAGTATTCTCTGTCTGACACGGTGTTTCCATCACAAGATTTCGATCAGATACGGTTGGAGAATCGTGTGGAGTACAGTAAATCATCGATGAGTGTTCGACGGCTCCTCGGCACCGAGTGTTCAGACTAGGGCTGTTATGAATATTCGAATAATTCGAACACTCCGTACTATTCGAATTGTTCAAAGTATTTGAAATCAGTGGTGGGGATGACGTCTGAACACTCAACATACAGGGCACTGTTTGTCACAAGATATGGACCTAATATAATTTCTATACTATTATATTAAAAACTGAACGACCTTAGAACGAAATAATTTTTTCCACCAGAAAGAGTGAAAACTTTGATATGAGAAACATGTGTAATATGTCATTATTTTTAGGGTCCAGGTATTATTCCTGGATGGTTCAGGTTCAAGTGGGAAATCTCAAGCGGGAAGAATATGACTGATTAAAGCATAATTGTATAATACAATCGGCCGACAGTTCGATATCCTTGGATAAAACGAGCGCGCTCCAGGCTGCATGGGAAAGGAGGCACACGTGCGTGGATGCGGAAAATTAATTCGACGGATGTGACGTCATGGATCGGTACCCTTCGTGTTTCCTGTGGGAGTCTCCTGAGAAACCTGTACGTATCAGTAGACCTATGCTTTATCCTTTCCGATGAGCATTCATTAGCCACGAATACGAGGGTAGGACCGAAAACGGAAATCGAGGAAACGAACGTTCTTGGTACACCGGAATTACACCAATCGCTATTAAACGTTATACAGCGTGGTTTTCAACGATGAAGAGAAGACCCTCGACAAATCGATGTTTGAGTTTCATTACACCAATGTTGGACTTCGTCTATTGAAGTAATAGTATTTTCACTAACCTAATGTTTACTACTATTAATTCGAAAATAATTTTTACAAATACACGAAGAACGTTTATGTACTGTTAATTTTATGTTAAAAGAACAGGACTTTTCTTTTCAAAGTGATCCATCTTCCATACTAACGCTCGTGTATACTATTCAATAAATCGTACATTACCGTTCCTGGAATTAATTAAACAAAAAAATGTCATCTTTTCATGACGAGTATACTCGACATAAACATCGAAGTTAAACAGAAGCGATGAATCTTGTTGCACCATCCCAATAAAGCGACACCCAGAATCAAAACACCGATTTATAAAACTTTCCCTTCCCCCATAATTCTGTATCCTTCGCATCAATAAAAAAAATGAAGAAGAAACATGAGAGAACGAAGTGAAACGTTCATACGGTCTATCGGCGTGATCTATCATGAGAAATAGTTTCCGATCTATATAAACCGCGGCAAAAAAGAAACGGTTCCCCCTTTGTGGCCGTGGAGGATCGGTCCCGCGGTTCCCATGGGCCCCCGGGAGTTCCGAAGAAAAAGAGGAGAAATTCTCTCATGAGGCGCCACTAGGAGCAACGATGCTTGCCAGGTGTTTTGGAGGTAGCCCTCCTCTTTCTCTCTCTTTCGTTCCCCATCTTTCTCCTCCACAAGAAAAACAGAGAGAGAGAAAGCATTTGGCCCCGTCTTCCTTTCCCCTTTTTGTTCTCTGTCCTCGTTCCGTCCGTCGTTTCTTCGTCCACAGAATCTTTTCACCATCTCTTTCGCGACGACGAGATGAACCCAGACGAGAAACCTGACCACCACTTCTCTCGGTCCCACCATTTTTCTTCCCTCTTCGTTCTTCCCTTTCTCTCCGTCCTCTTCGGCCGTTGGTCCTCGGGGCCTGGGCTACCTCTCCCTTCTTTTTTTCTAGCGGCTCTCCTTTTTACCACCTGGCAGAAACAGCAGCTGGTAGCGCAAAGAGGATCCCTCCGCCGCCCCGATCGAGGAGGATAAAGGGCATTCTCCACTATCGTCCTCAGGGAACTACGGGGACCTATATATACTATGCCTACCGGTCACTGAAAGGGAATCGGGCCCCGGGATACCAGCGTCCGTCGGTTCACCCTAATCGCTGAGAAAAATGTTTGTACGTCACACACTACACATCGAAAACGCGCGCGTGCGTCGTTAGAACGTCCGACAAACAACTTCACGGGAGTTGCGTTGAAAGGACGATCTAATCGTCTGTGCCTTAGCTAGTAACGATTACCGTTTGGTCATCCTGTGAATTCTAACTCTAGTTTTGATGAAATACTTGATGACAATATTTAAGGTGGCTTCCGTAGATTTTTAATAATTATAAATTTAGGCGAAAATTCAATGGAACGTTCTTAACCACAATAGTTAAAAATCCATAAATTGTATTGACATCCTTTTCGAAAAATTTCTTCGAGATTTACTAATGTCTAGTTTCCATTTAAATAAAAATTACTATTTTTCCAAAAAATATTTAAAATACCTGTCATTATTGGTCCCTGCTAAAAGCATAGTAAGATTTCGAAGTGTTTCGAGACATGAAGGAATCTTGTATGAATAATATATCTCCCTTCAGAATCATTCACCTCGCGTTCCCATAAAGCTGCGTAGATATCCTTCAGCGTGTCAAGGTACAAGTCGATCCGGTTCTCACGTGTGTAACATCGGAGCTGGAAAGGGTGCTCACGGTTACGCGCAATTACGCTCGCCGTCTCGTTACCGGTTTTACGAGCGTATACGGAATAATAATCGAATTAAAATGTGGAATCGCCGGTGTCAAGGTCTACGCTTTGCTCGCTCTCTGCCCCTCCCTTCTTTCCCCTCTTTTCCATGCGCAATTTATATTTCAAGTCTTAACGATCCTCGATTCGAATGCTCG